CTCTAAACTGGTCAAGAGTGGGCAATGACTCTGTAAAATTGGTCAAGCGTGGGCAACATCCCCGTAAACTGGTCAATGGTGGGCAACGTCCATGTAAAATTGGTCAAGGGTGGGCAACGTCCAATAGGATCTTCCCGCCTTCCGGGCATTTTGCCGCCCAAACCGCCAACCGCCGCGCGCTCCAAGCCGCGCGCCCACCTTTTCAAATCCCCAACCGCCGCCGCCGCCACCACCAGAGAACCAGGGAAACAGAGGGGCATGACCCGGATATCACGCCCACTTTCAAATCCTACGGCAGGGTGGCTACACCGATTGGGCCGTCTGCACGTCCGTCGGGGGCGGCCGGCGAATCCGCGGACAGGACGCCGCGCCGCTTTGGGGTCCCATTGGTTAGTCGTCACGTCAATCGCGGGCGAACGTGCATGCTGGTCCCGCCCACGCCAGCCGGGGACGGCTGCGCTTCCGAATGGACCGACGGAGGTGGAACAGGGCGGGGGCTCCGATTGGTCAGATCCACGTCGCTCAGCGGGGAATATCCAATCATCGGTGCAGGCCGTGTGAGACCCCAGCCGAATGAGATACGGGGGACACTTATTGGACGGTGTGGGTAAAGTCGGGATGCTGAGTGGGCACGACCAAACGTCAATCGAGAATCAACGTCCCCACCTACTAAAACGTGTATGCTGATTGGGTGGGCTGGACATCCTTCAGTGCGGACTGGCCCATCAGAAGGAGGGGGCGGTGGCAAAGCTCGGGAAACCCCGCCCTCTTTTGGGATTCTGGCCTTACGTGAAACAGACCTACGGCGTCAATTGGTGAAGAAAACGTCGCTCAGAGTGATGCGACCAATCAGGTGTAGTCCCCGCCTACGAAGCGTGTCAAAGGACTCGTCGCACTCCCAACACCCATTGGCCAGAAGCCACGTCAATCATAGACGTGGGCCCGAAATGGGCGGGGAGAAGTGACGGGGCGCTCCTCGCGATTGGTGATTACGTACGTCAGTCGGAAGTGTCTGGAGCGTCGATTGGTGCAACGGGACTTCCGTCGTCCTCGAAACAACCAACCAACAATGAGATCGTGAAGGAAAAGGACTGGAATGGAATTACAAGGTGTGGAGCTGGATGAACACAGCAGGCCAAGCAGCATCAGAGGAGCCTAGACCCTTCTTCAGAAATTCTGCTGCTTGGCCTGCTGTGTTCATCCAGCTCTACACCTTGTTATCCCAGATTCTCCAGCATCTGCAGTTCCTACTATCTCCGGGAATGGAACTAGACGATTTTAGCCCCAGACCCAAGTTCACGCAATGTCTGAACTCCAACAGCAAGCAATAAACGGTCTATAATTATCGGGTTTTTTTTTAAATATTGCAAAGCGGAAATTGTGCCCACTTTTATGCTTTCTCCTCATTTCAGCTCTGGATTTTCATTGGGATTTCCGGGGTCAGGGAGAGGGCAGAGGTCGAAGGCTCGTACTGCGTAATTACACCCGCCCACACCTCCGGTGGTTGGCCGCAGCCGGTGCGGCCTTCGTTTCCGATTGGGTACGATATACGTCAATCTGACCCCGGGCCGGCAAGGTGCACTTGCAACGGATTGGTTCAAACCGCCGTCATACAAGGCATAGCAGCCAATCACAAGGAAGCCGTGGGTGGTGCCCAACAGCCTATTGGGTACAATGGCTGTCAATCTGGTGACCGGTAATGGCGTCATGGCGGAATGT